AGACAAGTAGTGATTCTACAGCATCTTACTACGCAGATGGACAGTGACTGTGAAGGGGTATGTGGGGGGGACTTGGTGAAGGGGGGAACCTAGTAAACATAATGTTCTTTCTGTAATTGTAGATTAATGATACCAAAATAAAAATAAAATAAAATAAAAAAAGTTACAATTCCTATTATGTTGACAGTATATGAAAGTTTCACACGAATATCCTTTTAAGGGCAAAAATGTGCAGACTTGGAAGTTAAAGGCAAGGTGACATTAAATTCTTCAACTCGTGTTTTTCAAAACCCAAACCAAAACAAAACAATGTGCTTATTATGACATGCCCTGAAAATTAACAGAGGGGAAAAAAGTCTCTTAAATTTTTAGTCAATAAAATTTATGTACACAGAGTCAACAGTGTGACTTGAACATCAATATTTCAGAACCAAAGAACTGTGTGTGAACTAGGTCCAATGATATCGTGAGTAGACAGTCTGGAATTACAGCACTGGACTCCAGTTTGCGATTGGTATTAAGGCGGCCTGCCAACACGATTAGGATAAGCTAGTCATAATAAAAGTGAGTATACATAAAAGCCTACACTTATACCATGAGACAGTGCGTTGTTTCCAGCATGACTCAGCTGACATTTATTGAGAGCCTATTACATGTCAGGCATTGTGCTACGAAGACAAAAACCACAAAGACCCCATCCCTCCACCTTTCCTTCTACCTCGCACTTGGTTTGTGTAGGATAGTGCTACTTGTACCCTCTCTTGGATAAGAATTACTTGCATTCACTCTGTGTCCTTGATTGCAGGCTTCTGGAAGGCAGGCACCATCTATCTTCTTCCATTCGGCGTGGTGCTTGGCACTCAAAAGGCCCTTGATAATTATTTGTTGCATTGAAATTCCAAGAGTGTTTCTCTGAATTACTTCACTACTGTTCGCACAGGATAAAAGGCATTTTCTGAGAAAGACATTCATTGCAGTACTCACTGGAATTCGATTTCGGGATCTAAAAGTTGCAACTCTCCTGAGATCATCATCTGACGAACAATATGGAACCACCAAGAGAGCAGGGTAAGTGTCACACAGTTCATAGCACTTATTAATAAAAGTAATTCTCCAGTGGTGGTTGGGCAAGCCCTGCAGGAAAAAAGGAAGTCAAGTCAGTACTGCATGACTTCATGTCCGGAATTGGCCCTGGGTCTCCTTTCTTCTTTCTAGCACAATTCACGCATGCCTCTTCGACCACAGGGTAGTGATTTATAATAAAGGAGCCAAATCAATAATCCAGACAACATAAGAACACGAGACAAAACATGGTGGTTTCCCTCATTCTAAACTATCCTTGTTAAACACAGATTCTGTTGAGTCTGAGATCTTCCTTTACATCATGCCAAACTATTCTTCAGTACTTATCCAGTAAGGATAAACCCAAGTTCATCCCCCATTCTTCCCTCCCCACCAAAGAAAAGCACATGGTGTAATTTTAATCTGTATCTAACTGAGGGTAGAAAAGAGATCAGGCAACTTCGTCTTCCTCTCCCTACTCCAAAGGGAGCGACTGCTTCAGTCCGCTCCAAAGTAGAAAGAGGCTAAGTTTATGGAGAATGTCACAGAGGGGAAGGAAAGGAAAACCCCTCGGGGGAGGCTCATTTCGCCACCTCCTAAGAGTGTTTTCAATCAAGTCATTTGGGATTGGTGATCGCCTTATAGGTTGTGTGAGAAATACAGTCAATAGAATTCTGAGCAGATTGCTAATGTGTCAGGGAGACATGGAAGACACCTCCCATCCTATCATCTACCCACAAAGATTGTTGTCTAGCATGGACAAGATCCAGAGGTGGTGGAATATCCTCTCCCCATACTCACAAATACACAGATACACACATGAAAGTGAGCTACATGGGTGCTTGCTTTGGGGACAGACATTGTACCTTGTCTTTAGGTCCGGCCCTATAGACCACGGACCAAACAGATGAGTCTGATGCTGAGTCCAATCAGAGAGTTATAAGTCCCATCAGAAAGTTACAAGAAAAAAAGATGGAATATAATGGCAGTCTAGAACAAAATACCTTCAACAGTTCATATACACATGCAATTGTAAAAATAGGAACTGTTTTGTTTCAAGCTAGAAGCTTGAAAAAACTAAAATGTAATCTTAATCTTGCCAATAACACTCCAAAAATAAGATACAAATATTTTAATACATAACACACCAAAACATGTGAATGTTTTAATGGTTCATTTTCTGTCTTAATAACTGACCCAGGACTGAGGCCATTAAAATGAGAGGTACCCAAAGATTCCTAAGGGAGGAACAACCTAAGACAGGCACAGTCGCAGGGGGGCCATCAGGTGAGAAATTGGGGATCAACAGAGGTGAGGCTTAGAACCTCACCCCCCCTGTTTTGAGAGAAATCTTCTGTATCCATGGATGTCTTGCTGCCCTTGTCTAGCTCGGATTAATACTTAGTCTATAGGCACACACCTGATCATCTACATTTGCCCTCTTACAGCAGTAAACTATGTTTTCTACCTTTATCTTGCATCTACCTACCACTTCAGCATTTCATTAAAAAAAAAAAATAATAATAATAATAATAAGGGAGAAATGTGGGATTCACATATAAATCAAGTATAAAAATCAAACGAATAATCATATTTGACCTGATTGTTTATAGTTCATGATGTGAGATCAAAACCGAAAGTTTCTGTGATATGACTGCCCCTGCACTGTTCACCATGTAAGAACTTGTTTGTTATGCTTTAGAAGACTGGAGACTGTTGAGAATTAGGCTTGGGGTTGATTAATGATTGTGCATTGAGTCCCCTATACAGAATCGTATTGTTGTTAACAACCATCTGATCAATAAATATGAGAGATGTCTTCTCGGAAAAAAAAAAAATGAGAGGTACCCACAGCCTTTGAAAACTCAGCAGTCTATAGCTGATTTCTGGAAGCAACAGGATACTCTATGTCATACACGTGAGCATTGAATCTGCTCACAAAGACACACGCCACTGATCAAGACTACAAAAAGGAAATCAACCCAGGTGGTTGGTAGTAGAGGTAGTGGCTAGAAGGTTCCTCACAAGTCTAGGGTTCGGAGATTTTATTTCACATTCACTGCCTTTTCACATAAAGCAATGTGAAATGTGTACTTGATTTGATTCTCAAAGCTTATTCAACAAAATTTCCCCATTCTTGCAAGAGCTTTGCAGAATAAGAATCATGAAAAATTCCACCACAAAACTCCTAGCTGCCTGTAAACTTGATTGTACCAGAAGTCAAATTGTGGCTCTTATTACATAACATGCAGAAGATCTTCTTCACAAAACTGCTACCACAGACCTTTGTCCATGAACAGCAATATTATACCAAGCCCCTTGCCTTTATTACGTACAGCAAATAAGCATGCATACAGGTGAAGTTGCCATAAGAGAGCGCTAAAAGCAACTTGAATACACATTGGTCAAAGCTTTCTTTGAAAAATCCTCATTATAGCAAAACAGTTCTAGTTCATTTCAATCTGCAAATCAGAATGAATATAACTGAAATCTAACTGCCAGTGATAGTTAAGCTCACAAATATATAAATACACAGTGACATCAACTCCTAAATAGTAAGATATAGAAAACTGATTTCTCTAGACTCCAAGTATTTGATTCATTTCATGAACAGGATATAAGTGATGTTCTTCATGCAGGGGAAGGCAATAGAACGTAGCCATCCAGCCTTCAATGCAGTTTGAATATGGCTATGGCATGAGTTCATAAATTACCTAATAATAGGTAGATAGAATAAGCTACATTTTATCACTTACATGCTATTATCATATCATTTATATGTTATGGTTATATTCAATTATATGTTACGGTTCTCAAAGAGCCTGACCGACAACATATTGTCACCATACATGTTTAGGATTCACCACATGCCACAGTAACCTATTGACTTACCAGCCGTCTGTATTCTTCAACTGGGTTATAAACCGTCCATCCATCCACATTAAATTTCTCTTCATTTAAAAATGCAAATATTGGCTAGAAATGGCAAAAAAAAATTTTTTTTAAGTTCAAAGTGAAGGAATAGTCTACTAATAGTACATCTTTGGATTTTTCACCAGATTGGCCTACCATAAAATCACAACCCAAACTGAGATGTTTAAGAAATAACAATGGAAAATTCAGACTAGACTTTGGCTACCTTCTATTTTGAGTAATAATTACTTTTGAGACTTTGACTTCCTATGGCTACAAAACGGCTCCTTTAATTAAAAAAAGAAAAATGATGTCCTACAAAAACCAGAATTCCAGACCAAAAAATGCCCATCAATTTTAAACAGTATTAGCAATCGATCAGGTAAAAACTACTTAAAAAAGAAAGAGAAAATTCAGGAATGATTGCTAAACAGTGTGACTGTCTCAAAAGGGAGGAACGATGTGTTTATCCATTGAGAGAGACAGCATGTTAGGAAAATTCATAATTAACTGTTCTGTGTGAACTCTTTAACAATGCCCTGATCTTGGTAAGAAGGCAGGACTCTGACCTCTCATCTCTGCTCTCCATTTGCTCACTGTCCAGGCGATACCGGCAAATCATACAGTTCAGAGACCATCCACCTCCTAGAGACCCTGACTGACTTCATCGCTCGCTCTTTGGCCCCCACTCTGACCTCCAGACTTGGCTAACCAGGCGACCACCCCACAGCCCCAGACTGCCCAAGCCATCTGCAGGCCTTTGAAGTTAGCACATCCAAAGCCACACCCTTGACTTTCTCTACCTGCTCCTGCTCCTCCTACAGCCTCCCCATTTCGGTAGATGACAGTCCCATCCTTCTAGCTGATTGAACTAAAAACCCCAGTGTTATCCTCATAATCACATTGCTATGACCCTGGTCTAAGCTTCCACCATCTCCCACTTGGATTATTTTAATAACCTCCTAACTGGTCCCCTGCCTGACCCTGTCTTTAGAGGTACGATCTAAGTCAGGTCAAGTCATGCCCCTGCCCCAAATCCTGTGCTGGGCCTGCTCCTACCAGTTTTCTCCATTACCAGCCCATGAATCTGAACACCAGCATCCTCTCCCCTACATCACAGAGAATTTCTGGAAAGGCATCACTTACCAGCAACAGTTTTCTACATTTGAGTGGCAAGAGGTTTAAGGTGAAACACAATCAAGAACATGTTCTCTGGACTGTCTTCTCGAACTTTCCAAAGCAACACAAAGACAAGTAGTGACTCCATAGCATCTTACTATGATGATGGACAGTGACAGTAATGGAGTATGTGGTGGGGACTTGATAATGGGGTGAATCTAGTAACCCCAATGTTCTCATGCAATTATATATTAATGATACCAAAAACAAAAAAAACCCCAAACTAAACAAAACAAAAATACCATCTTGTATCTTATTAAAATCACTGATAAGTATAATATAAGTATACAAAATTATCATCAGAAGATATGTTATAGAGCTCAAACAAAAACTATCTCCATGGTTTCTTTAATATGTTTAAGAAAACTCTGAATATAAAAAATCGTCATCAAAACCGAAAGTTTCTGTGATGAATGCCCTTGTACTGTTCACCATGTAAGAATTTATTCACTCTGTAAGAATTCGTTCACCATGTAAGAATCCCTGGTAATTACCCATTGATATGGCGATAGACTACTTTTATCCACCCCTGAGGAATACCTGTCAATATGCAGATGCACTAAAGACAGGTGAAATATTCTGGAAATATTACAATTTTACCCACAGCAACCATCTAAAGACCTATGTTGTTTGGGGGCTATAGGTGGGCACAGAGGCTGATGTGCATGAAAGCCAGGAGAAGTGGGAAGTCTGGGAGGAAAAAGAAAACTTATCGTGGTCATGTGGGCTGTGCTGGGGCCATGTCAGGTGTTGCCACCACAGTGGTGAAGAGGACACAGGACTCCTTGTCCCATGTTCATATCTGGCAAGGGAGACAGACATTCAGTCACTCAACAGTTTTATTGAGCACCTGTTAACATGTAAATTCCTTTTCTCCAAGCTAGGGATACGGCTGTGAGCAAGGTACAAAAGTCCTTGCCCTTGTAGAGCTGACATGCTACTGTACAAGGCATATAAGTAAAATGTTAATACATCCCAGGTGATAAACGCCTGGGAACAAAGACAATAAGGAAGAGGCTTCAGGAGTGGGGTTGTGAGGAAAGGTTGCACTTTTAAACAGGGTGCTCAGGGAAGACATTACTAACAAAATGCAATTTAAACAAAGACCTAAACGGAGTGAGGTGTTTCCTAAAGGGTGCCAGACAGGCAGCTATCTGGACAGAGCATTCCAAGTGGAGGGACTAGCTGGGCAAAGGTTTGGAGATGGGAAGGAGCCCAGCATATTCAAGGAATAGTGAAGAGGAGAGCAGAAATAATAGGAGATGAGGTCAGAGAGAGAAAAGGACAGAAGATAACAATATCCTCATTTATTCAGCAGTTACGTATTCAGCACCTACCATGTGGTGCTCCTGGAGGCTAAGAAACAGCAGTAACAAAATAGCAAACGGTCCCTATCCTCCTGGAGCTGAGGTTCTAGCAGGAGGAGACAGAGTTGTGTGAATGTAGTAAAACCAGGTGTTGGGGGCTGCTCTAGCTGGGTGTACGCAGGAAGGCCTCTGTCTGAGGCAAGAGAGGGAGGCAACAAGGCAGAGAGCACACAGGGCACAGTGTTCTGGGCAGAGGGACCAACAAGTGCAAATGGCCTGGGGCCAAGGGAATCTGTGCATTCAGAGCCGTAGTGATAGCTGCAGGGTGTGTGTGTGAGCGTGGTGGTGGTTGCGGAGGTGGGGCAGTGAGAGATGCGGTGACTGGCTGGAGCCCTGGAATGAGTACGCCCTGTAGGTCCCCTAAAGAGTTTCTATAGTTTAGTGTCCTGGGAAGTTCTTGGGGGCCTTGAAGCAGAGGAATGACACGGGATTTACCTTTTTAAAAAGATGGGAAAACCTGATGGAAGGGGAAAGGAGGGGAAGCTTGGAGAGAGTGGAGTCGGATAGAGCCGAGGTGGATTGCTGGCAAGAGTGGAATCTGGGAGACCAGGAAGAGGCTACTTCCAATCTAGTCCTTTTTTCCTGCTTTATGTTCTTTATAGCATTTAATCATACGTAACAGATATGACAATACATATATTAAAATCATTTTTAAACCTATGCAAACACCCTCATAACTATCATGCAGCTCAATAAACAGAGCATTTCTGCTCCCAGAAGGCTGTGTCTGCTGCCCGTCCCCAGTCCCAAGGGTAACACTCTGCTCACTTCTATTGTTAGAGGTTATTTTGCCTGTTTTTCAACTTGATATAATGGAATCACAGTACATTGTTTTTTTAAAAAAATCTGGCTTCTTTTGTTCAACATTTTGACTATGACACCCTGTTTCACTTATGTATAATTATCTGTGTTCTCTAGAACTGTTCTTGTCTAATTGTATACTCACTGGTCACATGCAATTACTGAAATTAGAATTCATTAAAATTAACAAAATTTAAAATTCAGCTTTTTGGTCACATTTGTCCCATTTCAAGGGCTCAGGGGCCTCGTGTTAGTCACTAAATTGGACAATGCGGAAGAAACACATTTTTATGGCTGCAAAGTTCTGTTGGACTGCTGCTCCGGAGGTCAGCTCCAGGAGGGCAGGCGTTTCTGCGTGTTCTGTTCCCAGCTGTATCCCCAGCGCCTGCACACAGTGGGTGCTCAGTATTTGCGTGTTGAATGGTTATTAAAATTACCCGAGAGACATGATGGGCGGCAGTGATAACGTACCGTGAGAGCCAGCCCTGGGGTCACTGATGTGCGTGAGTGTGGGAGCGGGGGGCGTGCAGGCGAGGCTTCAGCCCCGCTGAAAGGGGAAGCAGGACTGTGGGAGAGGCCGTGGGGCAGCGTGAGGAACTGCCTGAGCAAAGACAAGGTCTGGATCGCCNAAAAAAAAAAAAAAAAAAAAAAGTTTGTTTTCTGATACTTATGTAACACATGGCCCTTTTACCAAAATTGGATCGTAAGAAATATATAAAGAGGAAAATGTAAATGCCCATAATCCCATCACTCACAGTTTGCGTCTGTTACCATTTTGGTATACTTTCTTATAGTCATCTTGGTTTCCACCTCTGTCTCTCTTACTCTATAATCAGGTTCACACTGTATAATGGCAGTTTAAATCATCTTTATAACTTACTTTTATATTGTGAATGTCTTCATACATCATTTAAAAAGACCTGAAGAGCAGCATTTTCATTGCTCATATAGATGTGTCAAATTTGTTTAACTTCTTCCCACCCCATGTTATGGGTGATACTACTACCTACCTTATTGTATTCTGGTTCTACTTTATCAGTTAGATTCTCCCCAAATTATAATTTAAATGTATGAAATTTCTCTGGTTAGGTAGTATAGAATGTGACTGTATGCCTTCTTTCCTGTTTTCTCTGAGGGAGGCATATTGTGTTAGGCTTTTTCTTCAGCAAACCTGTCTGCTCACAGTGGTGGTGAGAATCCATTTGCCAGCATTCTCAGCTAAAAAGCCCATGAACTGGCTAGCAGAATCAAGATGTTGGCCAGGAGAGGGCTCAGGGGGTTGCTCTCCTGAGAAGCCAGATGCCACACCTTGGTTCTACTGCCACTCTTTGGAGCATCTCACAGGAGAAACGGAATGCCGTCACCCCCTGTGTGCCATTAACAGCGTGGGATGGCATGAAGGGGGGCTAACGTGTCACCTACAATGATGCCATGATATCATCACCTGAGATGCTCTACCAAGCCAATTGCTCCTCTTACCCGACATCTTGTAGGGCCAGTTCCTTCCCATAGTCCACAGACCAAATGCTTGAAACTGGTACTCAGATTAGAGTTAGTTCCAGGGAGTAGCCAGCAGTTTAGCAGCCCCGGAGCTGCCCCTGAGAGGAAGGAACTGATTTCCAGAAAGATGGAGTGGGTCTCTGTCCAGGATGAGAAGTGGACACACTTCAGCGCAGGCAGCCTTGTGCTAAATCACCACCCACAACACAATT